CATCGATAAGAATGGAGACTATTTTATTTAATAAATGTTTTGTTTTAATATACAAGTTGTTCGGGTTTTTTCATCTAAAATAAAGCAACATTAATTTGTTGATGACCTAATACTTTGTGAAACCTAACACTATTTCCAAATGATTAAATTAACCATCATTGAAACTTTTTTTAAAAATACAATAAATTAAGGGCAGGAAAATATTTCCTCTATTTCTGTTTCAGTGAAAGTATTTGGGTAGAGAGAGAACCAAACACAACTTATACCAATAAGTAAAGAATTGCTACAATTACATATTCTTATCTTTCAATATGTTCTGCAATATTGTACAAGGTGTATACAAGAAGAAATTTAAAAAATGCTAAAATCTCTTACATAGCTATTCCTAGGTACAGACACATGTTAAGAAGATCTCTCCTATAATGTTAACAAGAAAGTAATGTTACAACCAGTGGCATCATTTCAGAAACATTCTGTGGGAAATGTCACAAAGTTAAGTCAGGATACAGAACATTCTCCCTACTGTATTTATTTGTTTTTGAAAAAAAACTTCAACAGTCTTATCATAATTATATTATATCCTGCAAGCAACTGTTCCCTTGCCTTGTAGCAAATGATAACCTTAGTTACAAAACATACAATCCTGCCACTCCTAACGAGATTTTTAAAATACTCACATGCATTATGCTAATTCCACAATAAATTGAAAAAGCTTTAGCAATTTCTTCATCAAAAGAAGTGAAGAATCGTCTATTAATTTTGTTGCAGAGTTCTGCCACTCCAATTACACCTGGATATAGCAATTAAAACAAACAAAAACAAATATTGTATTTATGTTAGCCTAACTTCTTCAAAGACAATTCACATTTACATTATGATAAACATGTTTTATTCTTATTCTTTTGCTCTGTGGGTAGATATGACATAAAAATGGGAAGCATAATTTTAAGTAAAACCACAGGCTAAAAATACAAATGATAAATTAGACTACAATTCAAAAATATTTAGGCTTATTAAAATAACTGAATATCTGTGTTACATAAAGATATCTGGTTATATTTTTTTAACTGAAACAATAAAATAAGCAAAATATATTTTTATTACTACGTCTTTACGTTAGTATAGCAATGTACAAGTAAACTTCTGAATGCAATTATTATAAATAAATATTTTTGTCAAGCCAGTAATTTATAAGTCTACTTAAGCAAAAAACAGAAATAGTTTTATATAACAGAAGTATGTTTAATTAGGTTTAGCATTATTAATCTTTCTAGTTCTATTTTGAAATGAGCAATAAAACACATTTACTTCAGAGGCACAAGATTACTTTCTTATTCCTTTTAACATAAGTATTTAGATGAGGTACATTTGCTGAAAAAGTGGTACATCAAGATGATGGTGTAATGTGACTGAAAGATGTTAAATTTAGCATACTGCCATGATACTGGCTATGAAAATGGTTAAATACACCAATGAAAGATGCAATTTTAACAGGAGGAACGGAATATAATAAAATTCCAAGGAACTACTAACCATTTTCGTCCTTAATAGGAAAGCACAAGATACTCCTGAAAGAAAAGAAAATTCAAGAGTTAAGCTCATATTTAAACTTCTACTACGTTTGTACAAAACTCCAGTTGGAGGTTACAACACTGAAAGTCAACATCACACAGTCATAGATTTTTCTACCCTTGTTTAAACTTATAAAGAGACCAAACATAATGTAGACGTAACAACTGAAATTTGAAAAATATAAAACAGTTTACCCTAATATAAATGTTCTAAGGGCTGATATACATAACTGACAAATCATTAGTTAAAAAAAACATTATATTAAATATAAGTTAATTCCACCTAAGTTTCATCAAGATATAAATAAAATCAATGCCACAAATGCTCTATGGTACTTGTACATCTTTTAATACCTACTGCTATATCAAACTTTGTATAACTTATTTTGAAATATCTAAATTCGTCTATTTCATCATACATCATACAGAATACTTATGACGATGATGTCACATACATCATACCTTGTTTTAAAACCTGTTGTTTCATCAATTTTTCTATAGAACAAAGGGTGTGCGTAAGCATCATGGATATTAAGCAGTTCTCCTAGCAATAAAAGATATATCATTTTATCTTCAAGGATATGTAGTGATCCACATAGTTACAAACAATAAATAATAGCTAATGACTAATTATTACAGAAAATCAAATAAGCTGAATATAAGTCACCAGTGTTTTTTACTTGCATTTATGTACTAAAAGTTTATCAATGTATGTAATTGTGAAATATTGTCCTGTATTGCTCCCCATAATTGAGCCAAGTTGTTTGGTTGCCACTTGATCTACCAAGTTTCCATATAAACTTATACAAACCTCAAAAATATACACATAAGGACCTTGCGTAGGCCAATTTATGGTTGCAGGTGTTCTATTGGCCCCCCTTTTTTCTTCCAGGTATCATTTCACAATATTTGCTACATGTTTAGGACCTGCCCAACATGTCTTCTTTGTGAGGGAATGACATGATGGATAAGAATCTGAATGCACCTATCAGCAGTCAGGTGCCATAAATTTTGTGTAGGTTTTCAACATTACTGACTAAAATGTAGCCCATAATTGTATTGGTCCACTACATACACTGTATAAAGACTGTGACACCATTCTCTTCTCAGTATTCATAGTTTTCAAACAATTTGAATTTGGATTCATCTGTAAAGAGCACTCTCCTCAAGAAGTTTGAAGGACAGTGCCCATTTGAACCTTTTGGTTTGGTTATTTATCTTAAGCAGTAGTCTTTGAGCAGCTAAATATCCATTCAGGTCATTTCGTTTTAATGTGTATCCTACTATTCAGGTAACACACCTGTGCTTACAGCTAGGTCACTGGCAAGATCTCTACTGGAATGTTGTGTATTACATAAAAAGCATACCAGGAGTTACTTAATCATTTTTGAAGAGTTTGGGCTTTTCGATTTAACTGCTTCTATTATCAACAGTACTTGTTTCTTGTACCTTCTTCAGAACTTCCAAACAGCTTTTTAACTGTAACATTAAATTTCACTTCAATCTGTTGCATGGAGCAGTCTACACCAACCAAAACTTTAATTTCTAAATGTTTGTCATGTGGAAATTCTGTCCTTAGAGCCAGGAGTGCATTCACCATACTACTACTGAGAAAGTACAATTGCTTGTACTTTTATAGGCATTATGCTGGTGTAGCACAGCCTGACTGTTCAGGTTACAGCCAACTACAACCATAGTGTGAACTATTTACATGTGACTGTACTATGGTACATTTCATTTTCATACATTACAGAGAAAAGCAATCTTATAATGTTTGCATTTTATCCTCATTTGATTCACTGTTGATTCACAATGTGTGAAATGAAATATTCAGAATAAAAATTTCCTTATTTTACAACCTGAAAAAAAACATTAACTGAGAAAAGCAGAGCAAAAGTAAATGTGTGTGTGTATATATATATATATATATATATATATATATGTGTGTGTGTGTGTGTGTGTGTGCAACTTAACAAAGAAAACTAAACTCCATTGATCTAAGCTATAGCCAATGGTCAGTTAAGAGATGAACAAGAAACCTCCAGAGCATAATGACATGCAAATGATTTCTTTAAGAAACTCGTAAAAACAATAACATCAAGTTCTGCTCGTACAAAAAAGTACTACAAAGCACTAGTTCCATAAGCTACAGTCTGTGAGTGAGTACCTTCTTTTACTATGCAGTGATGATTAGGTTTGGTAAGCATGTACAAAGTAACATTTACTTAAGAGTCACAGAATAACAATGATCCTAACTTATCTGTCATCCAAGATCTTTCTTTTTATTGCATATTTCTATGAAAATGTTAAGCATTGGTTAACTAAGATCCCGCAATACGCATATCTTAGATGTATTCTAAATACCTGAATAACAAAGTCAATCTTTATTAAAAAATCATCATATATGAAAATGGAATAACATAAAGCAAATATATCAGTTTGCCAGTAGATATGTACATGAGTGCAAATTTCCATAACATGAGCTTGCTAATATTATAAACTGATAAAATTACTTTATAAGGGTAAAAAGATGGAAACGTTGCAGGCATACATCAGTTAAAATGTTAAAAAAATTATGAATCCTCTCTTTCAAAGAATTTCTGAAGTAAAAACATATCCAAATCTCGTATCATTTCAAATATTATAAAACAACAACAGCAGGAAAGGTTCAGTTTTATGAATAAGTATATTCTAATTGTTCATCTTTCATGAAAAAGTTGAAACTTGATGGCTGTTCATAGGTTATCATGCTCCAAGTTAATAAATCAAAATGCTAGATATATCATCCTAAAACATTTCTAACACTCTACTTCATACTTAACTTCAGTTACAACTTCCATCTTACAAGTGACATCAGAATACATCTGTAGTATTTACAAAGTTTACTGAATTTATACTTCAAGATAATTTTCCAAGTGATTTAATACCTTATACTTTTCTTGATTAATAAAACTAGTTACATGTCTATTTAATATTTGATTTCACATCCTACCTGTTGTTGCCACATGGCCCGCTATACCCTGACTTGCTGGAATTCTCACTTCAGACAAGTTCTGTACAAAGAAAGATAATTATAAATACACAAAATTGCTGTGGTAATATAAACTTACTGGACTTACCATGTTCAGCCACTCAAGCAGATAACAAAACACATGTTAATGATTATAAAAATGTTATAAAAAAAACAACATCTTTTCTGTACAAATAGAATATCATATAAATATGTAAGGTACTGTGTCAGTTTATTGTTACTTCTACAACACTGATGTATGTTTTTACAGTTTGAGTCGTACATATAATTTGCACTGGTAAATAGTACTATACCTTTTCGATGACGAGGAACCCACTTTGAGACTAATAATGGCTGGAGATGGCTTGAATAGGTAATGAAGA